GGCATCTTTAAAAAATCATATTTGCATATTTATGAGATGTATCTGACAACTTTTTAATTTAGCAGCTGAAAAAGGTACAGCTTCTTTTTATCAATAAATATAAATGAATTCATTACTGATGTATAGTATTATCTTAAAAACAAATCTGAAAGGAAAGAAAAATGGAAACAGCTCCAGCGGTTGCATAATACTAAAATAATAATAATAATAAAAAAAGAGGAAATTATGTACATTCTGTTTATTTTTAAAGAAACATTTATCTAGGATCCTCAACTAATAGAAACCTTATCTTGGATTTTTTAAGGAAGAAGTAAATGCTTCTAGAATAAGATAAAATGCTATATTAAAAGGTATAAAATACCTAAAGTAAATGAAGATGTGACTATTACTTCCACTGTTAAAAAAAGGCATGAGAAAAATAAGGTAACTTTTTTAGTAATGAGAAGCTTATTTGACATTTATTTTACAATAAAAATAATCTTTTAAAGAGATTTATACAGAAGTCTGTTAACACTGGAAAGGTTATTATCATTCTGACTGTTTAACATTTACTTTTGAGCATTAATCATTAGTCATCATCACTGAGCCATCATTTTGACAGCATTATGGGAAACAAACAGAAATGCCAAATCAATCCAGTAAAAATGCTGCTTAAGCAAATATTTCTGTATTGTGTTATATTGTGGATAAAAGTATGTAGTGTGATATATGTCCATATAGTGGTAGTGGCATTTATTGCAGATGTATGGCATGATTTGTATATATGTATACCTATGAACTGTTAACTAGGGCATTTTCAGCATCAAAATATAGTATCAGAATTAGGTGGAATAATATGACATATGCAAATAGAAATGTGGAAAGTAAATAGTCATAAGTTTATCATCTGTTCGCTTGCAGAGAGACCGCCAAATATCATCTTAGGCAACCAGCAGCAAACCACATTTATGCATGGGCCGAAGCTACTTCGAAAATTCGCAATGCATTGAAACGCATATGCGATTGCATAAATATTGCATGCAAAATCTCAGACAGGCTGGAGTAATTATCAGCTGCCATCCTTGTCACCAGCACAGATCCTGTATGCTCTGTACCTATAGTGAACTAATTTTATCTTAAGTTAACTTATTCGGCCTTTCTTATTCCCTTATATATTTTCTCCTGAATTATTATGAACCTTGAAATATGTATTTTGCCTTATTTTTGTAATTGTTTCACTGTTTTGCCTTTTTTATTCTATGTATTATTTCACTTTTAGTATTTTACTTCTTATTACTTTTAGTATTGTTGTAACCACCTATCCATAACTCTGTAAATATGTAACTGAAATTGTTCTTCTCACCCGCAAGCACCTTCTTCCATCACTGCAGTATCGTCTTCGTCCAGCATTTGTTTTGCACTGCCCCCAGCATCTCTTGAGCACAATATGTTTTTTAAGTGTGTTATTTTGATCAAGTTTTTTCCGTCAGCGGGGCTACCTGGCCGATATGCTAACTGCCCAATGGACCGGCTGCCTCGGTGTTGGTGGAAAAAAAGTTGTTTATAAATGAACCAATGACTAATAAAAAATGTACTGAACAAAAGCTCATTGTTTAGTTTTGACATTCAATCAAAATGACTAGGAACTGTGAAAAGCTGGAAGTTGTAGATGTTGCACGCATATGTTCTGCTCTATAATATTGTAGATTTGGCTGCAATCAGTGCTTGGATCGTGTACGAAGAAGCTAAGGGAAGCACAGCTCTTAAGAAAGAATTTTTCACTGCAGCTTACCGAAGAACTTTGTTGAAAACATATAACTACTGGCTGCATTTCTTGCTATGTTTCACAAATTTGTGGTCAAACAAAATAAAATTTTCACATGTAATATTAAATTGAAAAATGCAATGAAAACTGTTCTATATACAAAAAAGGCAAGACTTCAGCAGAAAATGTAGGAAAGCAGTAAAAAATGGTACATACATGTTATCACAACCACCTCAGTAAAAGTTGCCAGTTTTTCAGAATGTGCCAAACTCTGACCAAATTTTATTTCTCCACATGAACTATGCATAATTTCATGTGTCCTTATGTACTTAGGAAGTAATGATGCCAGTATTACTTTTATTTAAACTTTCTTTTTGGATCTCATTCCATATGCTCTAAAAATATTGTTTCAAAATATGGTATGGTTTACTGTTTGTTAATGAGAAATATTTTTAAATTTAAAATATTGAATCAAGATTTATTAAAAAATGCTTTAAATACATTACATTCTTGATTTTAATTAAACCTATCAAAATGATAATTTTAGAATTTTTAGTATGGGGAGAATCCCATCTTTCTGACATCAGAATTAAAACATTCCGTGGTAAGAGATATTATTTGCTGGTTAATCTAAGTTTATTTCATGAAGGGTGATTATTTATAGCTTCTTGTTTTTTGTATGCTCTATTTTGCCATGAGTGAATGTTCTTACCACAGTTCTGTGGCAGAAAATTGCTTTTAATTGATACTTAATATTAGTACAACCACCTTAATAGATGGAGCTGAATTTTAGAAATGTGCAAAACTCAGGCAACCATGCAATAACATTCTTCAGTTTTAACTTGCAATGTTGTCATTTTCATCTGTTCTTTTGACTTACACTTCAAATTCCAGTAATTTGTATAGCTAAATTGTGATACCTTCAGCTCAGTTTTAAAGTATATGCTTATAGAATTTGTCTGCAATGGAAAAAATTGTAAAATTTCTGTGAGAATACATTAATTTTGTTGCAAAATCACTAAAAGGAACCTGTTTTGAATCTTGGCAGTTGCCACAAAATTTCCACCAAAACAAAAGAAACAACAATCCTTGCTTACTGATTTATTTTTAGGATTAATACAACATGTGGAATAAGTTTCTTTTAATTATGTCATCTCTTAAGATCCATTAATTTATGTTTTATATTCAACAGTTAGTAATTAGTGATTTGTTTAAAGATATTTTATCAAAAACCTTTGTCTTCTGATTCTGTATGTCATAAGAATTATGCAAAATGGAAAATAAAAAAAATGATGAAGATTTGTTAATAGGAGTTGCAACTAACAAAGTAGTGAGAAAGCTTCCATGTGAAGATAAAAAGAAACTGTATTTACATGTTAGAAGCTACTTCAATCAAGTATGTGATTATGTAACATGTATATTTCTAATTAAAATTTAAGTAATTTTACATGCAAAAGTAGCAAATGTTTGTTTCTAGTTTTACTTCACTTAGTTTTCACTTTCAAGGCAAAGATATCAGCATTGCAAGAGATAAATTGATATCACAATTTTGAACTTAACAATTAGAAATCTTGAATAAGTTGTAGAATCTATAAGAATTGATATGCAGCAAAATTTAATCAGAAAACTGAGAAGTGTTGAGGGAATTCTATTATATAATGACAACTGTCTAAAGCAGGGTAGCCTGCCATTTTGGGAAGAGTGCCACTATCTAAAAAATAAAAGAGTTATGCGTGCCACTTCCATTTAGATGTTTTAGGTGCACATCAGTTACTTTCGAATGATATTTTGATTTTATTATGTTTACAATGGAAAACATTTGTCACAAACATATGTAGATCCAAACCTACAATAATATTAAATCATATAAATTTGAAAAATTTCAATTTATAAATTTGGAAAAAAAAAAAAAAAAAAAAAAAAAAAAAAAAAAAAAAAAAAAAAAAAAAAAAAAAAAAAAGAAAAAAAAAAAAAAAAAAAAAATAAAAAAAAAAAAAAAAAAAATAAAAAAAAAAAAAAAAAAAAAAAAAAAACAAAAAAAAAAAAAAAAAAAAAAAAAAACAAAAAAAAAAAAAAAAAAAAAAAAAAAAAAAAAAAAAAAAAAAAAAAAAAAAAAAAAAAAAAAAAAATCACTCAAATCATATAAATTTGAAAAATTTCTTGTTGGTACAAATTTCCAAAATTCAATATAAGTTGGATCACTTGCAGTTGAAATAAGTTTCTTATATTTGCTTTTCAGTGTAGTACGTTGCTGTAGGTCAATAATTTCGATTTGGATTTTAGTTGGGTAACAGTTAACATCTTGCAGAGAAACTGAGTTATTATATTTATTCTAATGTGTTTATGTGTCCATCTATCTATGCAGTTGATACAGACAATATTATTATTTTTTTAAAATCTTTTATTTCAATAAGTCTTCGTGTGCTACTGTTAAAACTCTGCTGTGCCACACGAGTTGAGAATTTGGCTGTTATTGAAACTCAGGTTAGCTTAGGTTGTTTGAATATGTGCCAAAGGGGAGGGACATCTCTGTGGAGCACATTCTAAAGGCAGCTGGCTCGTATTCACATCACACATGGGGAAAACTATGAAAACCAACCAAGCTAGCCTGTTCACTTGTATTCATTTTAAACTGCTCAGCCAATTGTAGGGCACATAAATTAAAATACCGATAATTAAATCCAGTGTGAGTTATGATACACTGAAAAAAATGTGTTGGGGGGGAATCTACATGATAACTACTATGAGCAAAATTGTGCTGCTTCTTTCTTAAAGAAAATTCTGCTAATGTTTTTAACAATCGTATAAAAATAGATTAACTATTATTTTTTTGTAAAATATTTTAGGTAATTTCCTTTTTACTTATTTTCACTATTTAAAAATAATTTAAGTTGTAAAAAGTCATGATTTTTGAGTTTGGCAGGTCAGCATTCTGTGGATGTTTATATAAATGCATGAAACTGATTTTATTTCTGTAATATTAATATCGGTTATCTAAAGCATGCTGACATTTTTTATTTTAAAACATTTGTGAATGCATTTTGTATCTCAGCATATTCTATTTTTTTATAGATATGTTCTATAGATATATTTTAGAGACAAGTTTCTTTTAAGAAGGAAAGAGGATGTATCATCATATATTTTGTCTTTTCAATCATGTATTCTAAATATTTTAGTATGTGAACTATCTTCCTTTGTACATTTATCAAATTTTGTATTTGGTTACTTAATAACATATCTTTTTATACATAATTAGGCATAGGACGATTAATTGCTGAATGCAAAATATGTCCTATTGTGATTCCATTTTGGCATTTAGGTAATATGTTTTTTAAAACACTTGAACTTATTTTTATATTTTATTATAATGAATATTTTGATACTTACACATTTTTATATACAGGAATGGATAGTGTGTTACCAAATGTTGAGCCATATAGACCAAAAATTGGACAGGTAAAACAAATTATTGGGTTTTAATTTTATAGTAAATAAAATATTAATATTTACTAGCTATTAAATTGCATAGAGAAGATGTTATAAATTTAATTGTTAATTTTTTGATTTATTTCATAGTTTTTTAGTTTTTCTTTTCATATTTCCATAATTGAAAAATTAATTTCATGCTTAAAATTGTTCCAATAATCACTTATTATTTTCTTTGATTTCATTCTTCACTTGTAAATAGATGTAATTAATGATTGTGTTTTTTGGGGAAAGAGGGGAATGGTCATAATAGAAAGTGGTCATTTTACTGTTGAAAGAGAAGAAAAAGGACTTCAAAACTGATTTCAAGAGTCAAAAGAATGGTTAAACAGAAGAATTATAACTACGGTAAAAAAAAAATTAAGATTGAAAGAAATGTGAAAGTAAACTCTGTGTATCATTGGAATACTGTTTTGGATTCTTTGTTCAAGTAAAGGAATCCTTTATCCATGCAGTGTAGAAGAAGTTGATCTCCACCAGGACAGAGCCAACCATGTCAACATGTCAAGATCTACAATTAAGTTTATAGAAAGGGAGCATAAGATTTTTCATATATTTCAGAAAGGTCTCTTGTTGCAATGTTGATGGACTGTTGTGTTTCTGAACTGCTAAAATGGGCACTTTCTACATGTTAACCAAAGACAATTGACAGAGTATGGAAAGTAATAAAAAACTCTAGGGGGGAAAAAAATCCCCATACCCAAATTAACAAATGCCCTTTTGTCATGGAAATCAAGAACACCTTAGTAGTAGTAAAAAAGGAATGCCCATCAGAGGACATAAAAAAATACTTAATAAAAAATATACATTTTGCAATTAACTTAATTTTAACGGCATTAGAATTGTTAAAAAATGTGTGAACATCTTCCATTTACAATGCATCATAAAAGAAATACTACATTTTCAACTTTTGTCTGTATCCTATTTTTAATCAAGTTTTTATGTTTTTAACAAAATAATTGTAATAACTTTTCGAGATAGAATTAAGCAAATGAGTATTATATTATCAAACCATTTTCTTTTATTAAATAAATATAGATTTAAAAAGTATTGCTGAATTCTTTTTGTAATGCCTTTTTCTCCTCAGAAAGTCACAATCCTTATTGGAAATCCCATTGATTTTACTGCTCTGCGAGAGAGGCTTGCAAGTGAATATAAAAGTGCGGTAAGTTCTATTGAATATCCAAATTATAATTTATTTGAATTACTGCAAGATGGAAATTGCATTAGATATTTAATTATTTTCCCATTAATTTTGAAAATATTTGAATATATGTGTTTTCATAAAAGCATTATCTTACGTAGTTTAAATGAAAAAATAATATTAAAAAAAGTTATGCTTTTAATATTATTTGTGCATCCAAGTTTATTACATTTAAGTTTTAATGCATTAAAACTAGGATTAACACAAATATTTATCTTGTGTGTGTCTTATTTCTTTTGATTATAACATATACTTATATTCTTAATCTTTTTTGTTAAATATTTCTTTACTTTTGCATTTCTATGATAAAAGAATGGTAAGTGAGAGTTAGATAATTATTGATGAAACAGTGATAAATTGAGATAAAAAATTGATGCCATTTGCATGTTCTTGAAATGTATTTTGTTTACATTAGATTCAGTGTAGAAGATGTTGACTGCTGCATAAGCATATAAGCAGTTTTGAGTATCTTTTAAAGTTCCACATAATAAAACATTAACTGCCTAAAAATTTTTCAGTTCTTCTCTCCCTTAATTGAAACTATAGGCAACCAATTAAAATTTAACTCAAGTCCTTAAAGAAAACAAGTCCTTTAAAATTAATTGTTTTTCAAAATTGCAGGGGGGGGACTTGCATTTTTACAAACCTCCAGCATAGAAAAAATTTATAGTGTGGCAAGGACAGTATGTCATCAGTAAAGTTTTGTGTTAAGTTTATATTAGAATATCGTGCTCACATCACTGATCCTAGATCCATGTTGCCGTTTTTGCATTCACATTACTAGTGGAAGTCAGAAATGTTAAGCAAGAAATTTATAATTTTTTTATTAAAAAAAAATGCTAGTGATTTTCACAGATTAGAAACTACGTTCATGTTACTGCTGTTGCATTTCTGCTATCATTCTTTCAAAACCATTAAATGGTATTGTGTTTGTTTACTCTTTAGACCAATGTAGAACTTTTAAAGCATAATTTAAGTGAACACTGTCTGTCATTTTTTCATGAAAATTTTGAAAGTAGTGAAGAAATCATTCAAAGTAGATAGTGTTTTTCCAAAAATTAATTAAAAAGAAAGCATGGCATTTTAAACTTGCTGGTTAGTAAAATCAGCCACTTATTGTAATCAGATTTTCAGAAACCAAATCAAATCTGTGCTAATCAATAAAAAAAGCTGCCGTTTATTGAACTTATCTCTGTCGCGTATAAAACTCAGATTAGGAATAGACTGATTCTTCAGTGACAGAATATTGTACTTTTACCTATTAAAACTCTTTGTAGTTCTTCCATTGACTTGTTGATTGTGGATTACTATTTATTGTTCAGGTATGTAGTGCTTCAATATAGCAATTTTGACTGAAATGTTTCTACCTCCTCTCCCCATCCTCATACTTGTAAGACACTTTTTTCAGAGCTCAGAATTTCCTTATCTTAAAATTAGTGTAAACAGTCCTCTAGAGCAGTGGTTCTCAATATTTTTTTGTTCCATGCCTACCTTTCACCAATGCTAGATGATGATAATTCTCCTTTCCTTTCTAAAAACTTAAAAAAAAAAAAAAATAAATAAAATAAATAAATAAATAAATAAAATTATTTAAATTAAAATATTATTTATAAATGCTTTATAAATTAAACAAGAAATTATTGATAAATACCAAAGCTTATATAAAAGTAATTTTTTATATTCGTAAACTAAAACTAAATATTTCACAGGTAAATAAAAGGCTGACTGTGTACCTCCTCTGAAATTTTGAAAATCTGCCCAGGAGAGAATTCCTCTCTGGTTGAGAATTTCTGCTTTAGAGGCATTATAAATAAGTGAGTGTTGCCTCTCAAATACTGGCTGCCTGGAAGTGAAATTACGATTTCAGTGTGCCATCTTTTAAGATTTTGACATTCAAAATTTCTTTTTGGGATAGACATATTTTCACAGAAAGTTCTCAGAAAAGGTCATGAAATGCTTCTTACCATTACTGAACACTAACAATCTTTGATGAAAAAGTAGTGGAGACTGTAGCTTGAAGGAAAATAAAAGAAAAAGGCCTTGGTCTTGCCTATATTCAAGTGGCTGATCAATTTAACAGACAAAATGCAGTTTTTATGATGGCTAGAAACATAGTTTTAAAATTGAATAAATCACAGGAGTAGCATTTTTTAAAAATTTATTGTGTGCTTAACTTGGAATATGTTGAAAATGCTTAACAGTTTAAAGATTTAAAACTGATGAAAAACTAACAAAAATGTAAATACCTCAAGTGCAAAAAATAAGATGGAAAATTGAAAGATGGTGAAACTTCTAGAATAGCTTCAAACTAAGAAAATGGTCCTATTTTTAGAGCTATTTCTAGCATGAAAACTGTGGAATTCACAAAAATGCTGCCCACCAGCGGCTGAGCAGTAAAGACGCTGAACAGTGGTAGCTCTATCCGAGGTTCGAATCCCATGAACGAGCTGGCTGCATGGGCATTTTCGTGGTTTTCCCCATGTGTAACGTGTATACGAGCCAGTTTCCCTTAGAAAGTCCTCCACGAAGGCATCCCTCCCTTCAGGCAGATAGCCCTCATGTGCTTTGCCATAATTGAGTAATCCAATCACTAAAATGCTAGAAGATAATTTTTTATCAGCTGACAGATGGCTCGAAGTGAATTGCAATCTTGCATGGAATTTGTAATACAGATGAAAATAGATTGCATTATAGAATATAAGCAGAACACACATTAATATTTAAAAGTGAAACAGCGGCTGGTTTAAAAAAAAAAAATTGAAGGAACAAGTCCCTAAGCTATTAATTATGTACTTTAAGATGCTGGCAAAAAATTTCATAGGTATTATTCAACAAATTTCTTTTCTAAAAAAAATACAAAATAAATATTATTTAAAATACAAAGTTTAAAAATAAATCATAAAAATGGAATTTTGTGAATTTGGAAAGAAAGGAAAAAATGATACAAAGGAAATAAAAATTAATTGGGAAAAAAAAATTTAAATATGGAAAGGAAAACGATATTAATTTTTGAAAAGCTAATTTATTTAGAATTAAAAATTTTGGCAAAATTTTTATCATTTAATTTTATTGCATAACAGAAGTTAAATTTTGAAATATGGAAAAGGCATTCATTTCAGAAAAAGTCTGGTTTTGTACAAAAAGGCAAAACAATTTTTTCTAAAATAAATAAATTTAGCTAATTTTTAATAAAAGAAAAAAAAACAAAATACTCATGCGAATTTTACAAAACTTGGCAGTTTTATTTTCATTTATTAGAGATTCAATTAAATAAAATGAAGAAGTTAATCATATTGATATTAAATCAAAAAAGATATTAGAAAAATCATGCTAGAGCATTTCATTTTCATTAGAAATCAAAATATGTTAAAAAACTGGTCAATTTTCAGGAAAAATGAAAAAAATCATGAAGAAAAAGAAAAAAAAAAGTGCTGGTTTGTGTCAAATACAAATACAAAACAATGCTATATATAAATCTAATACATATTCTAAGTCGTGCTTTTGTGACATGAAAAATGCAAATTCAATTTCGGCAATCGGTCCAGTAGAATGGGAGATATCGAACTGCTCTCACCTTTTTTTTCTTCAGTGTGTTTGTTAACTTTATACAGAATTCTGAAATTGTCACTTCTCTTCCACAGTATGCTTTCATGAATGCGATGTAATTTTGTGGCATGGAAATTAGTACACTTCTGATTCTTCAACAATATGCCATAATCTCGAAAAATGTGGATATTTATTATTTGTATCACTTAATAAATATCAGACATATGAAGGTATTGAAAAAGGGTCAAGAAAAGGAATAGAGCAAGATTCAATGTGTAGTTGACATAACATGGCTGTGTTGTTGACAGAACAACCATAAATGGTTAAAATAATTAATTAGCTATATATTAATAACTAATTGCCAAAAACAAAATACAAGAGTACTACTAATGACAGATTATAGCTTACAGAAATGAATTGTTTGCAATTGAATAAATATCATGGCAATTTGTAAACTATTGATTTTGTTAGTCATTTGATGTCATATGTGCCCTTCATTTCACTTACATGCTGTTATGTCAATATAATATCATTGACAGGTCTAATTATACCATTGCACCTGCACCAATAATATCATGATTATATTCTTCATCACAAAATTGGACGTTTCTGAAATAATATGTTACACTACTAAGGTTAGTGTAGTTAACGTTTAACATTACACTTACCAGGGTTCGTAGTGGTTATTATAAGTGCTTATAAGTCTTTATATTTGAAAATAAAATATAAAGGATCTTATAGGTGCTTACTTTTTCTTTAAAGCCCTTTTTTTTTGCCCTTATTTTTTGTTTTTTAGTGCTTATTTTTTGCTTTGTTTTTTTAGTGCTTTTTTTTTTTTTTTTTTTTTTTTTAATGAACGCCGCTTTTTTATTTTCCCCGTACTACCAAAGCGGAAGGAAACTAAAAACTAAATAAACAACTTTTCTTCCCTAATATGGAATGTCAGAATGGTGAGATGGTGAGGTCATACTCCCGGAAATAGTTTTCCCCCCCTTTCTCTGCATTAACATAACCCTTTGGTGTGCACGAAGAGTAGACAGGTGCCCGTTGTTCTGTTGGTCAAAGAATTGCGAAAGCAGTAGAAAATCCCGCTACATTCGGCATTCTTTTCCTCCCACCCAAATACTACACACGTTTGAATTTCTATCAAGATCTTAAAAAGATTTGCATTCTCGTTCTGTTTGATCAGTTCATATTTGTGTTTATTATGATCGGTATGCTTATATTATGAGCATATGTATGAATGTTTATACTAACATAGTTGCAGTAACTTCTGAAGTATAGTAAACTTCCAAAAATGGTTGTGTTTTAACACAGATTAGCTTTCTAAGGAATAATATTCGGAATGGCTTAAATAAAGGGAAAGTCAAAATAGTTTCATTTTCTTGGCCAATACATTATACAGTATGAAGGTT